CTCTGTGAGAGGTGGAACAACTTGCCGAATGCAAGAATTGCTTGAACAGGTGACCCTTCTAGAATATGGCGTAGTTAGTGCTGATACACACTGGATACAGTTACGCATGTGGTGGGTGATGTGTGTAGGTTATATTGTCAGGAAAACTAGTTGACGCCGAGTTTAAACATCAACTGCGTGTTGCACAACAGTTCACTCAAGCGACTTATCTGCAGTGATTAAACCAGCAGTACTAGTGATTTAGACACATCGTCGCTGGTGTTCTCATGTACCAAGTATGTATTGTTCGTATCACTTGAGTGCCCGGTATTTGTCCAAACTGGATAAAGATGCTTCAATTGTCGGTGCACGGCTAGTACTATAGTAGGTCGAGTAGTATATCCTACTGACCTCATCAGCTAGCGGAATCTATGTCTAACATCACTGGGATCACATATTAAACAAAATTTATTCAGATATTATCTTATTACATTTAAAAGTCATTAACTAGCATTTCTCGGTTGGACAATGTCGATACCACTACCCTCCCTCGATAAAGCGATGCTGGAGCATTCCGAAGCCGCCATATTATAGATGAGACGGGCTAAAAGAATGTGTTAAAGCACAAACCCAAGCACCCCCTACATGCGCGATTCGCTCGCAGTACCAAGCTGCAATAGCAGGGTCTGTCTCGAAACAGGTTTCTTACCAGTGGTTAACCATAGTCTGACATTGATGACATGTGCATTCCATTTACACGAACACTGATGAAGGATTGGTCAAATCGCAAGTTCGAATGATGCCACATGAGAAAATCTTCGCTCGTATACCTGGCGAAGCAAATCTAAGAATTCAGGAGTTACCGATTCATCCACCATGTCGTCGTTTACACAAATCAGTTTAGCGGTTTTATCATTTTCTAGGATGTGCAAATCATAAGCAATTCGAGCGTGATGCTATTATAGCATGGCAGGGGCTTGTACGGTATATTGTGCACACGAAAATAGTTTGCTAATAACTGCTTCTCAGATATTGCTCGTCTCCTCAGCGCTTGATGTGAGGTTTTCAGGAAATTTGGCCACTGGTCATCGTGAATGATGAAAATGCGACGGATCCAAGGTGCATTTATCTCAATGCTCCGCAGTGCGTATTTCAGCTGTCCATATTCACGGAATCGGTTATCCCCAGCGTCATAGACTTTTATAGAAACATCGAGTTCATGTAAACGTCGTATTGTATCATTAAGTTCGATTCTCGAGTCCGCCGCAGAACCATTCACCCATGTGATGACAGCATCGACGAGGGCGTCACGACAGTTAGGTACACCGCATGAGACATCGATCCGATGACACTCATAGTCTGGTATTTCATGTATGTTTTACTCATTCCATACATAGGCCAACTTGTCACTCTCAGACTTTAATGTTTGGACTGGTGTAGCTGCGCTATAGCTAATACTTATATTTACATTAAATGTAGATTTTTCGTAGTTGCAATACGTGGATATCACAGCTAAACTAATTATCATACATGATTCCTGTCCAACTCTCCTTACCACTGGATACATAAAACCCATCCCTTAAAGTAAGTTTGCTTCACTCACTAGCGAGCGATAACTTCAGCAACACCTCTCATGCAGATAACAATCAAGACTCTCAGTCATCGAGATGCGCTAGACTACTATATATAAATGGTTGATTTTAATTGTATATACAATTAACGGTAATATGTATTTATATAGTTACAAGTACGCAAACTCTACTCTTAGGACAGAGGTGTTTATTTATTGGTGTGACCCTGCCGGGCGTGTAACGCATGTTCCGCGAGAAAAAGACAACTAATAATAATTTCATAGAAGAAGAAAAAAATCTGCGGGTCACTGGTGACTCCGGTCTCCAGTGACGCTGTTCATCTCGCGCCGTTCTATTCAACAAGTTAAATATTTACATATTCTTAGCCCCGCCTTTGAACTTTTACAAGGACCAGTGAAAAATAGGACACGCGAGACATTTACAGTAGAGCGCTCCACCGAATGCAGGACACTAGAACGCCCTGACGCCGCCAATAGCCCACCAATTAGACTCCTTGCCGAAGCATTCACTGAGCTATTGAAGGCGGGTACCTTCCCTGCAGCCCTGAACTGCAGCCTCCTGACAGCGCACCCGAAAAGGCCGATGCAGATATCACCTCCCCCACCGACTTCCGCCCTATCACGCTAACACAGATAGTCAGACGCATATTTGAGAAGTGCTTCCTCAAGCTGAGTACGAGCCACCCCTGCTCTGCTACCCATGCTACCCAAGCTGGCTTCAAATCACGATACTCCTGCCATACCCAAGCACTCGCCGCCATAGAATCTGAGACACAGTCGGAAGAGGAGTGGAATGACGCCTGACTGGACATTACCAAGGCATACGACAAGGTTGCTCTCCTGCTGCGCCACGCTGGAATGCCCGAAAACCGAATCAACTGCCTCCACGCGCTATTTGAGAGTGTTCCCGCCCGAGTGACATACCTCGGCACGGTCTCGCCTCACTCTATAGATCGAATGGCATCCTACAAGGCTCATTCGTTGGCCCCCAGCTCTTTATTATCTACATGGATTCCTTGACTGTCACGCTCGCACAGTTCCGGCCCGAGCTTTTCCGCTCTTATTATTTGTCGACGACACATGGATTCAAGCCCCCCAACCGGCTCTGCCTTGGGGACGCAAATCTGGCCTCGAACAGGGTGTCATCAAGTCCCGAGTACGATCTACCGACTTACGACACGCGGTGCCAACCCTCCGTATAAATGGTGAGCTTATCACGCCGACGCTAGCAGACACCCCTTGGAACACACGTTACCTCCTCCCGAAGATGGCACCCACACATGCCAAGCCTAAACTCTCCAAATGTCTGGGGTTCCCACTTTCCCACGGAATACCAGGGATCAATCTCGCCAGACATATGGACATCGCCTCCTTCCGTGCTTATGGCTTTCATGGCTTCAGCTGGCGACACACCTGCAGCCGGCTGGTGCTGTTCAAAACATTCATCCTATCCACGGCTACATATGGTGACGCACAGGACCCCCTGTTCGAGCACTATAACTCAACACTCATCCAAGCAGTAGCCATCATCACGGGTACTAAATGCCCTAAGGTTTTCAAACATCAAACAAACTTACTCCACTTTTGTGGCCTGCTCCCCACGCGACCATTCGCGGACTACCTCGGAGGTTGCTTGAGAATACAACTCGACTCAATGGCCAGCACAAACCCGCTCACCCCTTTGACGCAACCCGCCTGAGCTCACGACAAACCAACACTATGATTCCCTTACAGTATCTATGCCCGCCTAAAAACTGTGTACAAAACCACGGGCGGGCGCACTTCCCTCCGCCGACGCTGTGACGACATTAGGAAGAACTCAACAAAAAAAACGCTGGTCCAACAAGGAAATCGCGATAATAGCCCGGTGCCAATACTAATACCAACTGGTCATGAGCAAACCGCCAACCTCAATCGGGACAAACCCAGACACGACAGCTTTAACCGCTGCTTCGAGCCTACGCCAATCCGGCTCTGTGCTATGATTGCAACGAATATGTACATGTTCACATTGCTCGACTACTGCACCGACGACTGTCTCTGCTCTGTTTGCCCCGATGGCCACAAATTCACCACCAACCACTTTGCCTGCATCCAACAATCGATCCTGGTATGCCCGAAACTGCCTCCCATTGGCCCTGACCTCCTTCAGCAATTTCAGGTGCGCCACGACTTCCACGGCATCTGGACCCTCAACGAACACCTTGGATCCTTTCTCCGGCATGTAGAACAACCCCCTCACCCACACCCATCTCTGATACATCAACAGATGTTCGTCACACCCCGGCTAGTCACGCTGTTGAAGTACTACTTCCAACTTTCGGTCCAAACCAAGTCATCGCGCCTGTTGGTTCCGCCTATGATACTTCCGATCCAGGCCAACCAGCACATACCGAGTGCATCTGTGGTCTGGTGCGGCATCGGTTCACTCCCAACCTCGCTCCTCAACCGAGTTATGACGGATAACCTGGTCCTACTCGGGATTTCGTACTCTGCACTAATCCACCCACGGCAACCATAAATGTGGATACACTACTTAGTAGGTCCGCAAGCGAGTACGTAACACACTCGATGGTGTCCGTCTTTTGTCAGCACCGGCCTGAATTGATCCAGCGCATATCCTCCATCGTCGACTCATTTGGCCCAAGCTTCAAACGGGAATTTACTGACCACTTATTCCCATCGATCTTCCCCGAACCACTACAACGGCTATGAGAGCCATACCATATGTACATACATTGTAACTTATCTCCTTTAAATTAATTGATATTGTCCCTAGTCATCCTTATGGGTCCTCTCCGAACTGCCGTGGCTCTCGATGAACACCTCCAGGCTGCCATTACATACACACTTGTCACTCCAGAGTTTGACAAGCATTGACCTATATGCATAGAAGGCAAGATAAAAGCTAAAAAGTTTCACATAACAATTATGTTTAGTTCCACGGTCCTGGAGAACAATTTCCCGTCGATCCCTAAGGCATCATGCTCAAAAATATTTCGGATTCAAACATGCTCTCAACATGGTTTGTGACGATTGTTGATACGGCCTACATATACATATACCACTGAAGAACAAAAGAACATTGAACAAGATTGAACTGGCATTGAAGCTCACGCACGTGTTCACGACTATCATACGCAACCTTTACAATGGCGATGTGAGTTATCAGCTCCTTCAGTGTAGTCTCGGGGGTCAGCAAATCCGTGCACGCCAGCACATCGAACACGGTAGTCTTGTCGTCCTCCAACCCGTCGACTTGCACGAGAGAAACGAGCTCACGTCCCGAAGGGTATGTGTGGTGCTCGGTGCAGAATCCCACCAAACTAGCATGGTTCAGCTCGCGCTTGGCGAACACTTGGTTGCAATGCTGTAAAGACTGTACATACACCACATCCCCATCACTCACGGCACTATCCCAGTGGCCTGTTTACTCAGAATCCCTCCCGCCATCCCCGTAGTTGTACACCGACCGATTCTTGGACCGGCCCTTTCTGTGCAGTGTGTGGCTGAGCTGGCTGTTGTGGTGACCATTCGCATACTGTCTGTTGTGGTGACCATTCGCATACTGTCTGCTGTGGTTGCCATTCACGTATTGTCTGTTGATGTTGTGTTGAACATCGTAGGCATTGTGGTTGTTGCGTTGCTTGTTGGTGTACTGTGTGCGATTGTGCTGAGGATTGCCCTGTGGCCCATTGTGATGGCCTGCATTGCCATACTGTGTATCATCGAATGCATGGTATGGCTGTCGATTGCTTGGTTTTCTATTGTTGTACGATGATCTGCTGTACTCCTGCCCGCCATACCTACCGTTGTAGTCGCTATCGTAAGGTTGACCGTTGCCACGGGGTGAGTTGTTGTTGTAGTTTCGCTGTGAACTAATAATAGCATCACGATGGGGATTGTTGGTACGTTCTCCATAGGTCCGGTAGCTGTTCTGCGGCGTGTACTCATTGTTGTCGTGTGTATCGTAGCCCTGATCATCGTACTGTTGTCTTCGATTGTATCATCCCTCTTGATCCTGGCTTTGCGTGCTATTATTACGTATGTTGCTACCATGCATACGCGTAGAAGGCGGTCTCCCATATGCGTCTCTCGTGTTCTGGCCTTGAGATCCCCTCCCTCTGTGGGAACTACTTGTACCTTGTCCTTGTCGAGATTACAGACGATCATAGCTGTCGTCTCCATACTGTGGTGGTTGCGTGCGAGAGTGTGTCTGATTGCGTGCATAAGTGGAGTTATGCACCGCTTCCATGTGGCTACCACTACTATCTGGTGTATTATCATAGTATCCTGATGACTTGGGAGGCCATGTATTATCTTCAGTGTCGTCTATCGTATTGCTAATACTGCTATGTGGCGTTCTACCACAGTGTCCCGACGGCTTGGGAGGCCATGTATCGTCATCTATATAATCTTGACCTTCCTTACCTTCTTAATCGTCCGTATGTGCGTACTGGATGTTATTGCTGTCATGGGTGTCCTCTAATGTGTGGCTATCTATTTAATCTTATGTTTTATCGTAATACCCCGATGACTTAGAAGGCCATGCTTCGTTATATATTTCAGTCTCCTTAGTGTCAATGTGTGATTCAGATTGGTTCTTATTCGTGCGTATATTAAGGCTAAACTGTCCACTAATACATTCCACACGTACAGTATAACTATTACATGAGCTGGCTTCATTCTCTATAATATTGTCATCGGGGCTGGTACTCTCGTTTTAGTCACCCGATGACTTCGGAATAGTGCTCTCCTCGTCAGCATCTGAAGCCGATTCAACAGGTGAGTGCGACATGCTTCAAGTGTCCCAGTGGCAACAACGGCACCTCTCGCGTGGATATCGTATTCCTCTTTCATAACCCAAAAATAAGTTATTTATATATTTATATTGGATGGGAATGACTACATATGATATGTAGTGATATAGATGCCTGGGTTTAGGGGTTGTGCATGACTTAGATTCATACATGGTCAAACACTTGCTCCAGACTGTGTCCAGTTTTGAGCTGAGTTTTGCACACACTCGTCGCTGTTCACCACTACATACTAGGTTAGCTAAGGGTAAGGTTAACTGTACGTTCAATATAGCATATCGATATTTGAGGGGTCAATATGCTTTGATGCAAAAACAAACTGAGAAGGCTGTTCGTCAGTTTCTCCCGGGGGTTATAGTCTTCATCTTCCTTTGTCTATGTAGACCGTTGGATGTCGATGAAACCCGTCCGCATACACGGCAAACAAAAGGTGCGCTGAAGGGATGGGGTGAATTTGCATCTGACCTCGATGCAGATAACCATATATATATATATATATA